ATGATTCTATGCAAAAGAAGTTGTTTTTCCCAAATTACACTGATACGGTAAGCCTACACGACATTGTTTCATTGTAATAATTTACATTCTACTTAGGATTTTATTGAAAGAAAACTTATCTGGAAAAAAGAGTCAGGAAAAAGTCAAGGTTTTTATATATTAAGGAGGTTACTTCACTAGACAACAGGTTCAACAAGCAACCAAAAAATGTGTAATAGTTTTCTTGTTCTTATATTGCTGTTTCACAAAACTCAGTAGCAACTCTTTAATTCGGGGATATTCTCTCTGCAAGCGTAAGAGACATTTTTCTGGTGACAATCATTTTGTTTCTCTCATTTATCTTTCAGTTGGAAAGTCACCATTTTATGGCCATTTCCTCCTTTAGTATTGATATCTTCAGCAGTAATGGCGTCGTCGGAGTTTTTGATATGAGTTTTATTATCTTTGAGATTTTGAGGCTCTCTTTTCAGTTTCTTCGCTTTAGAAACAAATTCTCTTTCATAATTATCTTTTATCATTTCTCTGAGAAGTTAACAAATATTTTGTCTCTTTCATTTCTCTCCCTATTTCAATTTTTCTCTATGACTTCTTATTTACTGATGTCACCCATTAGAAGGATAGTTACGAGTTTCTCTTTATTTACTCGACAACAAAATCACTTCAATTTCCCCATTAAATTTTCGAAGTTGGTGCACATACTTCGATCTTTTTCAAAGCGGATTTTTTACTGTTTACTTTTTGCTTATTTTTGTTTAAGAATTTAAAAAGCAACCGCTAAGTTTTCAATGCATTCATCTTCCAGAAAAGAAGAGTTGGGTACGATTGAAATAATATTCATTTTAGAAAACGATGATGAATTAGAGTCGTTATCAAAAACAAATATAATTTCTATCTTTCTAATTTAAAATTCTTATTTTCCGTTTATTAATGTGTAAGACACTAGCTATTTCTTAAAGCATATTAATTTTGCATTGAGAGTTAAAACATTATGAAGAATCAAAAGTCTAATTATGTAGATTAATTAGATTCAGTTTTAAAAAGTTGTAAAAGATTATTTCTTTATTTGTGAGTCACACACATACTCTCTCTCTCTCTCCCCATATATATATATATATATATATATATATATATATATATATATATATATATATATATATATATATCCTGCTCAGGGGATGTCTAAAATCATGAAACTGATGCGAAATTCGGTCGAGCACTTTTGAGAGATATCGCAGATTTGTAAATTACTGCTGTTAATACTGCAAAACTTTTCTATGAATTGAGCCATCTCGATCATTGGTATGTTTATTCGAACAAAAAGAATGAAAAAATTCGCCTTCCTCTCTTCCGGGAACTGATAGCGCATGGGTAAATTCTTCGACTGATGCTAAATCAGTCGGGTTTCGATTTCGGCCTGAGGCAATCGGATGTCTAAACAAACTGATGAACTCTGATATAGCAAAGCAGTCTACCTGTGGATGACAATAGCTATCTATCTATCTATCTATCTATATATATATATATATATATATATATATATATTGTTGACAAAAATATACAGGTTGATAAATTGTTATCAAATATAACTCTCTCTCTCTCTCTCTGTCTCTCTCTCTCTCTCTCTATATATATATATATATATATATATATATATATATATATATATATATATTCATATATAGATTGATAAACTGTTGTCAAAATAACGCAAAAAGAAAAAGAAAACTTATAGGTACAAAACAAACAAAATTGCAAAAAAAAAAAAATGTCTTGAAATGCTAAAGATTCAATTTATTTAATAATATCGTCATTGACTTCAAACACGCCTTCCAGATGGGGGTTTGATTCCTCGAAGAATTTTTGAATTGATTGTTTTGAAACCGCCTGGTCTGAAGAAGCGAAATCGAATTATCGATTAATAAAATATTACCATGCCTTTCTGAAGTCTCCAAATTGTTAATGTATTGTGCGGAAGTTGTATTGTAGGCATTCAAACTTATATATATATAAGTTGTATTGTGCGGAAGTAGTAGGCATTCAAACTGTGCGAGAGAAACGTGGTCGTGATACAATATTAGGTTGTCTGTCTGCTTGTGTGTGTGTTCTGCTAAAACTAAAAACTACAATAATTAAGGACGACATAAATATATATATATATACATACTCAGTGTCACCTAAGCCAATCTTTTTGTAAAAAAGTACCATTGTATGATCTGTATTTTCGAAGATATTTTGAAATTAAAAATACTTATACGTAATTCATTTTAGCCATGTAAGCGTTTTCAAACTCTCAGAATGAAAAAATGAAAACGAGTGGGAATAGTTATTCCCGTTGGTTTTTACTTTTTTATTTTGCTGATAAATTCGAAAAACTATATGGATAGCAAATAAAAGCGTAAGTTTAAAAAATGAATATTAAAACAATAATGGTAATTTAAAAGAAGAAGAATATTAAATACAATTATTTGAAAATGCTTAATATTTATTTATTCAAATATTCAAAGCAAAAACTGTAAGAACACGAGAGAATAAATTCCCGTAGATATTTGCGTGGGGGAGAATTTTCTGTCGCTTTAACCCAATCAGATATTCCTCAAACATAGTCATCATTTTCGATATATTTAATGGGGAAAATGTTAACACTCTTACCATTTTATTGAAATTAAAAATAAAAAAAATAGGTATTAAAGTTAAAAAATGAATCCAAAAACAAACAAATTATTCTAAATATACACAATCATTTTAAACATGCTGGGGTGGGTAACATAAAATTTTTTACTAAACTATTTAATTTAATTTTCTTAAAATATTTGGGCTTTCAAAAATATTCTGTATGTTGAATTATTTTTTCTTAGCAATAAAATTTTTACTAAATTTAAATTTTTCAAAAAAATAGACTGGGATAGGGAAGAACTTAGATAGGAATAGGGTATGATGAATAAACCAAGACACACACACATATATATATATATATATATATATTGTCATCCGAAGACGACTGTTTCGCTGTATCACAGCCTATAAGTGCGGCTAGACATCCGATTGCCTCTAGCTAGGATCGAAACCCGGCTGAATTGGCGTCAGTTGGAGATTCTAATCCTAAGCTGTTGGGGTACGGCATGAATGAAGGTGAATTTAAGCGTATTTATTTTAGAATAACCACACAGTGACTGAGAAAACTCGATTCGCTTTACCGAAGAGTCTTGCATTATTAGCAGTAATAACAAACTCACACTTCCTCCCCAAAGAGCTCAACCGAAAGAAATTTTTCAGGGGCATATATATATATATATATATATATATATATATATATAGATAGATAGATAGATAGATAGATAGATTAACAGAGACAGATTAACAGAGAGAGAGAGAGAGAGGGAGAGAGAGAGAGGAGGGTAATAGTTACTGCAAAATCCCCGGTGGATTCTGTTGATGACAACAAACGGATCACTTCATCAATAGTAAACATAAGATGAATTCCAGTTTTCAGAAACGAAAATATTCCAATCGAAAAAGGAGAAGCCACATTTCCTGTTTCTGAAATGCATTCTTTCTTTTACAAGAATGCATTCGCTCTGACCTTGCGAAAGGTCGATACTGTACATGTGCGATTCTGAAACAAGACGGAAATAGATTGGCGAAGTGCCGGACCAATATCAGCCAATCTGGATTCTGAAACATTTAATACAGTTTAATCTTATTTTGGAATTACTTCGCTCAGGCGTCGGGATTAAAGAGGATTAAAAGGATTAACGTTATTTTTCTGCATTGAGCTTCGGTTTATATTGATATCGAATCCATGTGCTCTCTCTCTCTCTCACACACAAAAACACGCACTCCTTCTCTAACTCTGTCACTCAAACTCACACACAAACACACAGTCTCTATCCCTCTTTCACACAAACATACCAACATACATACACACTCTCATCTCTCATACATACAAACACACAGGAACAGACTCTCTTTCTCGCTTACACTCGTGCACACACTCTTTATCTCACTCACATACCTACACAGACATACACACGCATATAGGCACATACACACTCTCTCTGTCGCTCTCTCTTTATTTATATCTATTTATTATGTTTATATCATACGTATATTGTTATATATTTATATTGTGGTGGGTTTACCTACATACGTATGTACACATATGTAAATATTAGATACGCATCTGAAATAAAGAAAAGACTAAAAATAAAAGCATCTCTTATAAAAAAAAAAACAACCCTTAACAACATTGAATACAAACACGGCCATAGTATACTGGCCATGTGCATGGAACTTAAAACATGTCTTTGTATCAGCAATCAACTCACTGTATACAGTAGATCAATCAAAATCCTTGGAAATAGCTCGTAGATTAACCAAAAGCTGTCGAAAAGAACAATCATTTGGGGAATCCCTACATACACTATATCTAAAAAAAGATACTCTCTTGTTTGAATAGGAAAAAAAGTAACGACACTCCTTAAAAATTCATTTTGGTTATAATTTATTTCATGAATATATTCAAATATTCATCTCACCAGACCGAAGTGACAAGACAAAAGGAAAAGGGAGAGGAAAAAAGATTTGATATTAAAAGTGAAAGAAAGAAAAAATAAAAATCCAAAATGGATTTTTAAGGATAGTTTTTGCTTTTTATTATTAAAATTGCTCTGTGCTATACCAGAACATTACCTATTCTATTGTAATAGACTCTCCCACATATAATAAGTAGTAGTAGTTGTAGCAGTCGCCAGTTGAGCTCAGTGGAGTTGAGTGAGTCAGTCGATGTCGAACATTGACGTATCAACCACCACAACTAGATTGCTGCGTGCTTAACTATTATTTCAAGTTCCTAACGTTTTGTACGTCGAACCTAATTTAGGACCGACTTAGCGAAATACAAGCCTCCACTGTGAAAACTACTCTACAACACTCTGTTACTTACATTGAGCTCAATTGATATTATATATATATATATATATACGTATTGTTGTTTTACATAGACTGACAGATACACACACACACATCTATCTATCTATCTATCTATCTATCTATCTATCTATCTATCTACGCAAATAG